AGCTAGCCCAGCAATGATTGGCCAGTCTCGCTGCCACTCACATCCTGATAGCTAGTGATTGGCTGTCAGGATGTGTGTAGGCGGGGCAGCGTGACGAACGTGAGGGGAGCTAGGCTCCTCTCACAGTCCGCCCTGAAGACAGGAACGGCGCGGGGAACACGGCGAGAGGAACGCGCGGAGCAAAGGTAAGTGAATTGACACAGGAGGGACTTGGCTTACTACTTGCTACTTACTTACTACTACTATATGAGGGATGAATTAATATGGGGGATGAATTACTATATGGGGGATGAATTACTATGGGGTATGAATTACTATATGGGGGATGAATTACTATATGGGGGATGAATTACTATGGGGGATGAATTACTATAGGGGGGATGAATTACTATAGGGGGGATGAATTACTATATGGGGGAGGAATTACTATATGGGGGAGGAATTACTATATGGGGGATGAATTACTATAAAAACCTATTGAAACTAAAAACAGTGTACCATCCTATGTATTTTCAGTTTTAAAAATGTGGCTCCCAAAATAAATTTCAATCGTGGTTTTGGCGAGATTTGGCTCAGTTGAAAAAAAAGGTTGCCCACCACTGGCCTAGGCCATGTTTATGTAGAGCAACAATTCTTTTTTTCAGCTCTTCAGAGAGTTCTTGCCATGAGGTGCCATGTTGAACTTCCAGTGACCAGTATGAGAGAGTGAGAGTGATAACACCAAATTTAACACACCTGCTCCCCATTCACACCTGAGACCTTTGTAACATTAATGAGTCACATGACACCTCGGTGAGAAAATAGCTAATTGGGCCCAATTTGGACATTTTCACTTAGGGGTGTACTCACTTTTGTTGCCAGTGGTTTAGACATTAATGGCTGTGTGTTGAGTTATTTTGAGGGGGACAGCGAATTTACACTGTTATACAAGCTGTACACTCACTACTTTACATTGTAGCAAAGTGTCATTTCTTTAGTGTTGTTACATGAAAAGATAGAATAAAATATTTACAAAAATGTGAGGGGTGTACTCACTTCTGGGAGATACTGTGTATGTATGTGTGTGTATATATGTATGTATGTGTGTGTGTGTGTGTGTGTGTGTGTGTGTGTGTGTGTGTATCTCCATCCAGAGCTTTTTGTTTTCCCTCAGAATAGGTGCAGGAACTGAAACCTACCCCCCACCCTTCCCAGACGATCTGCATCAAATAGTAGGTGGGTCTTACAGGGGCATTAAATATTGGGAATGCATTATGTGCAGAGTTCAGGAGTGTGCTACAAAGAGAGTGCTCTGCATACAGAGGGCTCAAGGGCGCAGTGCATAGAGAGTACAGGGTTTAGGGGTTCAGTACATATAGAGAGCTGGGTTCAGCTCTCTTCCACCACTCCTTTCCTCTGCATCCCCATCCACACCCCCCATCAACCCCTCCTCAGCTCTGACCTCTGTACACACCCTCTCTACTGCTCTCATCTTCTCCCCACTCCCTTAAAAGCTCCATTATCCTGCACATGTCTTACAATTGCTGCTGTATTCATGGGAAGCCCCCAGCCAGCTCTAGCACATCCCCGCACACTGTAGGAGCTGCCTCTCTCTGCAGCCAGATTATCCGGGGGCGTCAGCATCGGGGTACCAGTTTTAGAGAAGGTGCTGCCTACTTGCCAAGGCCCCCCTCCCACCCATGGCAGCACACTACCTGAGGCGCTATCATCTCCCTTGTCACTGCACTGCACTCAGGGAGATAAGTTGTCACTTGTAAACACCAAAACCAGGATTCCTTGTTTACAAGTGACAGTGGAGCTGAGAGCCAGAGGTGGAGGAACAGAGTTGTGCCACTGATACCAATGATGGGGCACAATTCCTCCCACTGATACCAATGATGGGGCACTATTCCTCCCACTGACACCAATGATGGGACACAATTCCTCCCACTGACACCAATGATGGGCACTATTCCTCCCACTGACACCAATGATGGGGCACAATTCCTCCCACTGATACCTATGATGGGGCACTGTTCCTCCCACTGACACCAATGATGGGGCACAATTCCTCCCACTGATACCAATGATGGGGCACTATTCCTCCCACTGACACCAATGATGGGGCACTATTCCTCCCACTGATACCAATGATGGGGCACTATTCCTCCCACTGATACCAATGATGGGGCACTATTCCTCCCACTGACACCAATGATGGGGCACTATTCCTCCCACTGATACCAATGATGGGGCACAATTCCTCCCACTGATACCAATGATGGGGCACAGTTCCTCCCACTGATACCAATGATGGGGCACTGTTCCTCCCACTGACACCAATGATGGGGCACAATTCCTCCCACTGATACCAATGATGGGGCACTATTCCTTCCACTGACACCAATGATGGGGCACAATTCCTCCCACTGATACCAATAATGGGGCACTATTCCTCCCACTGACACCAATGATGGGGCACTATTACGCTGTCTAACACCAATAATGTGGCATTGTTTTCTCCCACTGGCCATAATTTGCCCCCCCCCCTAAAATTTGAAGGACAGTAAAGTGGCCCTTTGTTTTGAAAGTTTGGAGACCCCTGCTTTATGTGCGCCTAACAAATAAATGAAAATTAAAACTTTTTTTTTTTGTAAAGATGAACTTATCCTTTAAGGCCACTTCACACCACAAAAACGCACTCTGGATGCATTTGCTTACGGTTCACACCACACTTTGTTCCAGTGCAGTTCTGATGCAGTTTGCTATGTTCCAGTATGATTCTGTTTCCGGTGCAGAAAAAAAAGTAGAACGTGCTGCATTTTTTCTGCACCGGAAACTGACTGCACTAGAGTGAACTAGAGCCATTGGAATACATGGAAAACACTGTGCATGCATTTTTGATGCAGAAAAAAAAATGCACTGGACTGCATCTAGTGTGAACTAGTCCTTAAACATTTGATGTTTTCTAATTTCTGTTGTGAATAAAATATGGGTTTATGAGATTTGCAAATCATTGCATTCTACATATATGTAGATTTTACACCATGTCCTAACTCTTTTGGAACTGGGCATGTATTTATCTTTTGTCTGAATTTATGATTAATGATTTTGTCATTCACTTGTCGCAAGATATTTTCACTGGTGTTTGTTTAGCACATTTTTTTTTTTTTAGTAACAATTGCAGTATATCAGTTTTGCTTGTGTATCTATATTTAATGGGGCAGTGCAACATTTATTTTACATATTTCTCTTTATTGTCAGCTTTTACACTCTCATACATACTGTCGGTAGAAGAGCTTAGTGATTTTCTTTTAAATTTTACTTTCAATCATTTTTATTGAAGAAAAGTTCATCAGCAAACACCACTGCAGACAGTACCTCAGCCAGAGCCCTGGCAAACTAAAAAATTAGTCAAAAGCAATCTATATCTCCCCAGGACAATGAGCTGACAAAACATTAAACAGAGTTCTAGTAACAAGATTATTATTAGGTCATAAGTACCAAATCTGCAGCTCAGACTACTGATCCAATAGAAGAACCGGGTTCTCAGCCTTCTCAGGCTACAGGGCATTGTTCTGAACACAGAAACAAACAGAAAAAGACAGAGAAGGAATAAAGGAGGAAAAGAGGAGAAAGGGAAAACCAGAGAGAGAGAGAGCTGTGGAGAGCCCCGCATGACTCATGCCCATGAAGAAAGGAGCGAACAACGGTTTCAGTATCTTTCTCTGATTCCAGAAATCCTTGGATCTGAAAATTATAGCGCTTGGAGCAATACCCTAGCTTATCAGTTTTAGAAAGTGTGAGATCCAACTTCTCCTGCAAGTCCTGAATATGCTGCATGTGTTTTGTCTCAACAACCTTGACCCAGGTGCCCAGGCCCTGGATGACCCTTTAATGTCAGCAGTAATTTGTGCTGCTGTTCTAGCTAGGCCCTGCTCCAGCAGCTCAGAAAACGGAGCTAAAAGCGCTTGGTGTCCCAGATCCACCAAGAGAGAGAGGTTATGTGACATAACTGCCATGTCTGGGCTAGGGGGCTGCAGAGCAGGCTGAGAATCCATGAAGTCCTCAAATGTGCGTGCCAGTAAGAATTCAGTGGAAGCTCAGGACTCCCTTGGAGGCGGAGGAGCACTGACTGGGGGAGAATGTATTACATAGCCGTCCAGGAGGGGCTCACCATCAGGATCTGGGCTGGATCCACCTCGTTTCTTCCTGTGTGCTGTGGTGTCCTGCTCCGCTGACCATAAATGATGCAGAAGGGTCCCGGGATCTACGTAACACAGCAGGGAGTGAGGAGAACCTGCTGGATACGCTGTATCGGGCTGGTGTTGGCAGCCGTGGTGCGGAGCTATCCGGCTAGGCGGCCATCTTGCTGTAGCCCACACATGAGCCCCCTTGCATTTACATTTTGTGTAGCTAATATACAATATACAGGCACATACAGTATATCTCCAAATTTCCATTTGTACATTGAATAGAGTTTCCTCTTTAGACCTTTTAACATGAAATACAATATTTTATAGCTTGCTCCTAACTGTAAATACCTACCCACAATATATGCATTAGGGGGCAGAACTCACATTTTGTTTTGCTGTTGACCCCCTGAAAACATTCAGAGCTCTGAAACCACCTAAAATTCCTCTGACAGTTGGAGAGTACAGAATGCTTTGTTGATTGTCACTGTTTTATGCAGTGGTAAGCTGCAACTTAGTCTTTTGTCATCATTTATTAGCAACTCTTAAGCCATCATGCAAGTATTAGCACATACATAACGGATGATTGAGAGAGAGGCTCATCTAACTGATGTATGATTGGCAGAGAACTGCCATCACAGCAAAGCAGCTAATATTGTGCTTCAGCAAAATGGAATATGTGGCTTTAGGAGGAGGGACGTTTTAGCACTTTAAGGGTAAATTGTCTGAGGTTTTACCAGAATTGCATTTGTCAGTTATTAAACCAAGCTCAGAGTATTCTGATTATGGAGTAATAAGTTGTTAAATGTTCCATATTTTTTTCTGGAGGCTTCCCTTACCTATGCAGAAGCACAGATGAGAATTGATTCTCCCGACATGAATGATGAGATTACTAAAAGTCTCCGTCTGCTGAATAAATTGGCAAAGATTTTGAAGAAGCAGAGAATAGATAATGGGTAAATTATTGAATATTTTTCTGTTTTTATTTTCTTGACCTTTTGCTACTGAGGTTGGCTATCTGTCATTGACAAAGTAATGGGTTGTTTGCTAAAAGCTTAAAATAGCTTACTTTTAAAAGCAAACCTGTCTGTTTTGCAGTGTATTTGTGTTGTGCTCCCATATCTGAGATCATTTTGTTTTTTTGTTTTTTTTCTAGATTTTATTTGTTGTAGTGCAGTTTAATATGCAGAACGCAGTAAACTTTAGCATTTCCTAATGCTTGCAGTGCTTTCTTTTTTATAGCCATCCTATACATTACATTGCACTAGTGCTAAGTAACATTAGCTGATAAAACTGCCTGTCATGACAGATTTATCTTAGCTCAGATTTTGGCCTCAAAAAATATATATTGCTAGATCACTAACCTATCTCTCAGGCATCCAGATCCTAAACAGAATTCACCTTATATTTATATTTTACTGGATATGAGAGCAGCATTAATCTGCTTGTTCAAACTCCATAAATTGATTGACAGGAGGCATCACCCAATATAATGGTGGCATGACATAACCACACCATTATTGGCCCTTTTCTGATGATTTCAGATACTTCATAGTGGATTGTGTGTTATAAAAGAGACAGTGTTTATGTCATTAGGCACTGACCTTGTGATTTATCCACCAGAATTGTTTTTATTTTCATTGACTTTAATAATATATCCTTGCATCATGCAGTTATATGTAGGTGCCAAACAAAATGATTTTTTACAGCATATAAAGTTCTGTATGTAAATTGTTGATATGTTTCATTTGACATATTTGTTTCTTTGCCTTTCTTACAGTGCTTTAACTCTTTCTTCCCCTGAGGTTCGATTTCACATGGACAGTGAAACTCATGACCCCATAGATCTTCAGACCAAGGAGCTCAAGTACGTTCCTAGATAAGTTTTGGCTACTTGCCTAACTTGATGTAGAATTTTTATTGTAAGGAAGTGTTGACCAAATCTATGGATTATGAAATATAATATTTCTCTGATGTAATCTATTTTACAATAAGAAAAAGAGAAACAAAATGTATACGATTCAACCAATGAATTAAAGCATATACTACTCATACCCTAAACCCACAAACTGCAAGACAGACAACACATACGACAATCATGTATACATGTAAAGTGCAGGAGAAATGTCCTGATATTTACCAATGTTGTAGCATGGGGGCCTCCCAGGATCGTTGGATCTTCTCTCCCGTCTTCCCCCAATACCTACCCTGATATACACCTATCTCCCATAGACTTGCATGGGGCCATCCTGATTGGTAGAACTATCTAATCCATCTCCCATATCTGACGCATCTCATCCAGGATTGGACAATTTCCCCATCCCATATCGCTTACATAACTCAGCCCCATCCCAGAGCCTCCCCTTTTGGTGATAAAATTACATATGCCAGGTCATGGCATTGAGGCGTCTGGATTCTAGCTCTCTTATCAAAATTCCCTCCATTATTGAGAGTTTGGAGGGAACCTTAGGTCATAGCCTGGTAAAACTGCATTCCCCAGATAGCCATCACCATTGCATATCTAAAGAGAGGGTACTTTGAAGTGGCCCTCATTCAAACAAAGAGTTTTAAATGGCCTGGTCTAGATAGTTATGTGGGCCCCATAAAGTCTGAGAGAAGGTAGTTAATTTAGTGGTTGCCCCTTCTCGCATAATTGAGCATTCCTTGTGGCAAGCACATGTTTAGCACATCAAACGTTTCTCCAATACGAAGCTATCTCGTAACTTAATTACTACAACGTGATTCATTATTCCAATGTCTATGTACAGCACACCGATATCAAACCAAGCTCTGATATTTCTAACTTTGTAAATTGGTTAACGTATAGTTATAAAAATATCTATTTACATTTGCTGAAGAAGATTATATGTAAACCCCTCATAAGTCAACAGGGAGTGTAAAATGCAGTGTTAAACCTAATAACAAGCATCTTTTCACTTGAAAGATGGGGACATCTTTTATTTTTCAACTTCCTTTACCAGACCAAGCTGTCATGCAAAATTAGCAGAGGATTGAGACCAACCATTTAACACTGTCAGAGGTGCTTAACAATGGTCCGCTTTTATTCATTTATATAAAACTTTTAACCCAAAAGGAAAAAAAAAAAACTGTAGCTGTTACTGCTTAAAAAGAGATTGATTGCCGGAGTTCAGTTTTAATCTGTTAATCATGTTCATCTATATCTACTAGTGAATGTAACACTACCTTCTACCCAGATTGACAGTGCTGCTGTCAAAGGGTGGCTCCATTGTTCTTCTACTGGAGTTGATCCACCATAAGACAGGAGCGTATTGTTGGCTGGATCACCAGGTGAAAATAAAGAAAAAAGACTTTAAAAATAACCCAAACACTCTCATAACATCTAAGAATTGGTACGCTGCGCTATATCTTGTTTTTGGGTTTTATACCGATTTAGCTTCCAGGGTTTTACCTAAAGCTGTAACTTAAACTCTTAGCATCAAAGGAATCATGCAACAAATCTGCCTAATTCTCTTCTTAACCACTTGAGCTCCAGAGGATTTACCCCCCTTAATGACCAGGCCTCTTTTTGCTACTCTGTGCTGCACTAATTCAACTGATAATTGCACGGTCATGCAATGCTGCACCCAAACGAAATTTACGTCCTTTTTTTCACACAAATAGAGCTTTCTTTCGGTGGTAATTGATCATCTGTGCGCTTTTTATTTTTCACACTATAAACAAAAAAAAGGCCAAATATTTGGAAGAAAAACAATATTTTTTGCTTTCAGCTATAAAAAATATATAGTAAACTCAAAGTTGGTTATAAATTTAGGCCAAAATGTATTCTGCTACATGTTTTTGGTAAAAAAAATCCCAATGAGTGTATATTGATTGCTTTGTGTGAAAGTTATAGCGTCTACAACAGGGGTGGGCAAACTTTTTGACTTGAGGGCCGCAATGGGTCATATATTGGACCCGGGGGCCGGACCAAGAGTAGATGAATGATGTGTATGTGTCATCCATAGTAAGTATAGTAATATTCCCCAATAGTAAGCATAGTAATTAATCCCCCTTATAGTAATTCATCCCCCATATAGTAATTCATCCCCCATATAGTAATTCATCCCCCATATAGTAATTTATCCCCCATATAGTAATTCATCCCCCATATAGTAATTCATCCACCATAGTAATTCATCCCCCATATAGTAATTCATCCCCCCTATAGTAATTCATCCCCCATATTAAGTCCCCAAGTCCCCCCTGTGTCAATTCACTTACCTTTGCTCCGCGCGTTCCTCTCGCCGTGTTCCCGCGCCGTTCCGGTGTAGCATGAAAATCTGTCTCCTATGAGGATCTGCACCCCTCGACGTATCTGCGCATGTGCCAGTTTCAGGCATTAGCAGCCGATCGGCGATCTCCGGCACATGCGCAGATACGTCGAGGGGGACAGATCCTCATAGGACACAGATTTTCATGCTACACCAGTCTTCAGGGCGGACTGTGAGAGGAGCCTAGTGGGAGCCTAGGTCCGCGGGCCGGATTAAAAGGTCCGCCGGGCCGTAGTTTGCCCATTGCTGGTCTACAAACTATGGTATAAATACTGCAACTTACGCCATTTTTCTGCTATACAGCGCTGCACTAGTTTAACGGACAATTGCGCAGTCATGCAATGCGGTACATAAATGAAATTTACCGTATTTTTTGCTCCATAAGACGCACTTTTTTCCCCCCAAAAAAGGGGGAAAAATGTCAGTGCATCTTATGGAGCGAATATAAAGCGGCCGGTCCGGTATTTCTGCCGCCACCATGTCAGAATACCGGGCCGGCCGCTCAGCTGTTCTCTCCTGCAAGGCCTTACCTGTTCCTCACTCCAGCGCTGCACAGTCTTCCCGCGCTGGCTTCTGTGACAGCCGGGTGCCCACTGCGCATGTGCCGCGCTTTGTGAATGATCCGGTGTCTTCTGGGACACATGAAAGGTCCCAGAAGGCGCCGGGCCATTCACAAAGCGCAGCGCTTCTCGCACATGCGCAGTGGGCACCCGGCTGTCACAGAAGCCGGCCCGGGAAGAAGAGGGACGGACAACTCCGCGGAAGTGGGAGCAGGTACCTGTCACATTCAGGTACCCGCTCCCCCTCCCTCCCCAAAGGTCAGCAGTCTCTGGTCATTCCCTTCACTGTTTGCAGTCTCTGGTCATCCCCTGTACTGTCTGCAGTCTCTGGTCATCCCCTGTACTGTCTGCAGTCTCTGGTCATCCCCTGTACTGTCTGCAGTCTCTGGTCATTCCCTGCACTGTCCGCAGTCTCTGGTCATTCCCTGCACTGTCCGCAGTCTCTGGTCATTCCCTGCACTGTCCGCAGTCTCTGGTCATCTCCTACGCTGTGTCCGCAGTCTCTGGTCATCTCCTACGCTGTGTCCGCAGTCTCTGGTCATCTTCTACACTGTGTCCGCAGTCTCTGGTCATCTCCTACACTGTGTCCGCAGTCTCTGGTCATCTCCTGTACTGTGTCCGCAGTCTCTGGCCATCTCCTGTACTGTGTCCGCAGTCTCTGGCCATCTCCTGCACTGTGTCCGCAGTCTCTGGCCATCTCTTGCACTGTGTCCGCAGTCTCTGGCCATCTCTTGCACTGTGTCCGCAGTTTCTGGCCATCTCCTGCACTGTGTCCGCAGTCTCTGGTCAGCTCCTCCACTGTGTCCGCAGTCTCTGGTCATCCCCTGTACTGTGTCTGCAGTCCATTGGTTCAGAATATTTTTTTTTCTTGTTTTTCACCTCTAAAACCTAGGTGCGTCTTATGGTCAGGTGCGTCTTATGGAGCGAAAAATACGGTACATCTTTTTTTCCCCACAAATTGAGCTTTCTTTTGGTGGTATTTGATTGCCTGTGCGGTTTTTATTTTTTGCGCTATAAAAAAAGAGGCTGACAATTTTGAGGAAAAAAAAACAGTATTTTGGACTTTTTGCTATAAAACATGTCCAGTAAAAAAAAAATGCAAAAATCAAATTTAGTCATATCAAATTTCTGCCAAAATGCATTCTGCGACATGTCTTTGCTAAAAAAAAAAAAAAACAATACGTGTAAATTAATTGGTTTACGTGAAAGTTATAGCGTTTACAAATGGCGGGAAAGATACTGGGATTTTTAGAGTTTTTTTTTATACTAATAATGGCGGCGATCAGCGACTTATGGCAGCGACCAGCGACTTATGGCGGGACTGCGGCGGACATTCTGACATTGGGGGGTACTGACTTGGGGTCACTGACATCCCCAAAAACACTAATACAGTGATCAGTGCAAAAAGAAAAACACTGACACTGTACTAATGGCAATGGGGAGGAAGGGGTTAACTTTATTTTGCATGGAAGGGTTATCTGAGTGAGGGGGGTGTTTTACTAGGGGGCGGGGGTGTGTGCTGGATGGGACAAGGCTGATCGAGAGAGAGAAACTCTTCTGTCTCGATCAGCTCGTCCTCGAGCTGACAAGGAAGTGACAGACAGCACAGCTACTGCAGCTGTGCTCTCTGTCACTGTTTACCACTGATCGCCGGGAAACAGCCGCTAAGGACCGGCTGTGACCCGGCTACTGACATCGGCGGGACAGATAGGGCGGCGGCGCGCCTCGTACGCGCCCCCTATTTGTTTACAAAACACACGTTTTAAAACGTGGTTTTGCCTGCCAGTGCCGCCCTGCCGCCGTATATCTACAGTGGCTGGGTGGCAAGTGGCAAAGCTGCTTTTTTTTTCCATTTTGGATAGGGTAAGGGATGGTTATGATAGTGTGTGTGTGTGTGTGTGTGTGTGTGTGTGTCCGACATGTGCATTCATGGTTGCACAGGGGGACAGAGGTTCGTTAATTTTTTATTATTTATTTTATTTTTACACTGTTGCTTTAATTTTTTTTATTTTTTGATCACTTGTGTTTCTGTCACAAGGAATGTAAACATCCTTATGACAGCAATAGGCATGTGAGAGGCACTCTTTATGCAGGGATCTGGGGTCAATGAGATCCCAATATCCCTCCTCTGCCCTTAAAAGCATTCAAAACAAGGAGACCAGTGTTTTCGATTGCTTTTAATTTTTTTAAAAATGGCGCTGTTGACATCTGGGTAAACCAGAAATTATGTCAGGTTATAGTTTCTGGGTCACCGTAGCGGAGAACCGATCAAAGCCGGTCTCGGCTTTCTTTGGCTCTCTGACCAGGTGGCACAGATGTCAGATGGTCGCTTGGGTCTCCCGGTGCGACGTGAGATAGCCTGTGCATGCTGGGGGTGGGGGGGCGCATCCCTTCCCAGTGATTGTAATAGAAATCAAGCGGCTAGTTAGCCTCTCCGATTGTTATTACAAGAAAGCTGACCGTCGGCTCTAAAACGGTGATGGCTGCCTACGTCGCTGGAGTTGAAGTGGATAAAAGTGAAGTTGAAATAGAAAGGTGTATTGCCATAAAAGCTTAACCATGATGGGTAAAGCCCGGACCCAAAAATGGGAACCAGCGACATAGACGGATAAGACAGGGAAACCCTATTATTAGAATGTTACTGTAGCCCCATAGCAAGTTTGAGACATAATATCTCAATTACTTGCTTTACACTGATAGAATAACTGTATGACAAACCACTATTCAGGATACACAATCAGGAACCTGGAAATATGAAGACCTACTAAGTTTGAAAAGACATTCCCCATTTGTGAACTAATAGAATTGGCAATTCACGATGTGTTGAGTCAGTCCTGAAAAGATTTCCACCCCTCCCAGAATCATTGCAAAGCTCTATCCAGTGGGAAAATAAACTTACAAAATAGTGAAGTGTTCTGGTAGTAGACCCTGCTTTTTCAGTCTTGAACAATCATCTTACAGTACCCACTGAAGATTCTGTCATTTAAAGAATCTACTGACAGAATGTTTGAGACTCTCTTAAATACTCTCTTTACTCTTGCACACCCAGACCTGCAACCAGCTATTTCTGCATTTTCTGTTTACCAAATTGCAGCTGTATGGGCTAAGGCAATGAATAACCAACAGGATCCTGTCATCCAGGGCTGAGTACTTACAAAACATTACCCTCCACTTTGCTGTTTTGGGTTTATGCAGTAGAACTAGTCATGACAAAAATCTATAGAATGACTCTGATTTCTGTCCATGTGTGCAGAACCTTGTGGCTAAAAGCTTAAACAGCTGAAGCTGCCTGTAAGACATCGCACATGTGTGTCGTTTGAAGGGGGACGTTTCTTTGGTGAGGCACTTGACAAATTTATCAAACATGTCACAGGAGGAAAGGTTCCAAAATCCCCCTCCTCTGGGGCTTCTACTACCACAAAACGAAGAGCACATAAACTCTCTACTCAGGCCTTCTAAGCCAAAATTTAGTACCTTCCAAGCACAACTTGGAAATCAAAATCCATCGTCTCCCCAAAAGCCCACTTCCCAATGAAGGGGTACCCTCACTCTTAGAAGTGTGAGGACATTGTTACAGTTTGCCTTTCTTTGAGAAAAAGAAGTTGCAGACCTGTGAGTTCAAATAATGATTTCAAAGGGGTACATAATAGAGTTCAGAATTCTACCCCCTCATTGTTTTCTTATTTCAAACCAAACAAAATCTGTTCAAATACAATATTTGCAAATTGCCCTGAATAACCTCTTGTCCCTGGCAGTGGTCATTTCAGTACTTCTAGAGGAAAGCTTTAAAGGATTTCATTCAAACCTTTTGACAGTGTTTATCCTATGCCTAAAATCCCTAAACAAGTACCTTCATGTTTCAAAATTTTCATAGAATGTGCAAGGCCGGTTATTGTGTCAAAGTTGCTTAACTGCGTATTCCCATTTACCCACTTCTTCAGTATTTCACAATAGGAGGGAGACACTTTTTGTTTTGGTTGCCCTGCTATTTGTCTTCTCCTCTGCTCCCAGAATATTCACAAAGGTGCTTGTTCCACTTTTTACCCTCTTAAGAACTCAGGTCACATAATATATAGATAATAACCTTTTTCTGAAAAACTAATTTCCCTTCAAAATATCTGTAAACATTCACAGGACTATTCAGTTAGTTCAGGCTTTCAGTTAATCAGCTTCTAAAAATTGGCTCTTCAGCCTTCCCTTCACCTGAAGTGCTTAGGCCTCGTTCTAGTCGCAGCTAACCAAAAGTTCTCTTTCCTGAAAATAAACTGGTCTTTCTCAGATATCATGCTTTGTCAAAGAGAAATCCCTCTGTGAGATTCTGCATAGAAGATCTAGACCTCATAGTTATACAAATATAAAATGCAGTGCTGTGCGATATTGCTCTAGTATAGGTAACAATAATATAGACATGAAACCAAACATGAAATATGGAATTTACATCATAAATGGATAAATGCAGTCCTGTAATAGTGCTCGCTGTTCTCCAGTGCAAATGATAGAAATGCTCACTAACCAGAAGCGTATTGGTAATACGCATGTATCTAAATAATCCTGAAGAATCCCCTCTCTTTCTGGTCAGAAACTGGATAGGAGCTGGAAGATGTACAGATGAAGCGCCCTCGTGTGGTAAAGATGAAATCCCACAGGCCAGAGATATCCTTGCAGAGATGTATGGAGTAGATAATCCCCCTTCTCTGGAGCTGGTGCAAGGGTCACTCTAAGGCTGCAAAAATTGAAAAGCTCCTCACAGGAGACATAGGGAAGAACTCATAGTGTAGTATTTTAAATTTGCTTTATTACTCAAAAAAAGCGTTGGTGAGAATCACAGTGGTGCCAGATACAAGTGAGTGACTGACCCTTCCGAAATCAAAGATGGCCGCAGGGCCTCCACGTGGCACTGGCGGCGTGATGTCAACGACGTCCTGGGCTCCTTCCGACGCGTTTCGTGCGCACGCACTTCTTCTGAGGTAGCAACGACATCCTCTGCTCTACCTCAGAAGAAGTGCGTGCGCACGAAACGCGTCAGGTGGAGCCCAGGACGTCGTTGACATCACGCCGCCGGTGCCACGTGGAGGCCCGGTGGCCATCTTTGATTTTGGAAGGGTCAGGCTAATTTTTGCCATTTAGTTGTACAAATCCTGCCTGGGCTGCTCCATAAAATAGAGCAAGAGAAGAAATCTGTGATTCTCAATGCACCAAAAAGGCCAGAAGAAACTGGTACACAGATATATTCAGACTTCTAGGAGACAACCCCCTGACCTCTTCCAAACAGGCCAAGTTAGCTGCCCATATTGTTTAGAATCCAGTAATACACTGTCTCACCCTACTCTGCACATGCTCAGGTGCTCTCTATTTTTTGGCACGGTGCCAAAAATCGGAGCCACTGAAGGCCAATCTGCTGACTGCTGTAAGATTTACTGCTGTTCCAGGGGCTCTGCACTTCAGCAAAATGGTAGCCTCCAGCAGGAAGAAACTGGAACAATGCTGGAGGGAATTTACAGCACAAACTAATTTTGGTAACATAATTATTAATGTGGAATGTATGTGCCTTGCTAAAGAACAATATTTTTTGTTATAAAGCTATGGGTGAAGTTCCACTTTTAAGTACTTCTAAAGGGTAACTCCACTTTTGTTGAAAAAAAAAATAAAATAAATTGGAATTGAATGTTATTCAAAATACCTTTCCTTTTCAAACTGCAGAGCTGTAAATTTCTCTAAAATGCAATGAAATATGGTCACCCAGAGGCGTCTTGTACATAGATACCATACCATAGGTCTTGTACATAGATACCATACCATAGGTCTATGTCTCCCAAAGCTTTGCCAGTGTCCAATCACCTAAAGGTACTAGCCTATAACCCAAATCTATGAAAATCGAGCCTTTGCCATGTACTCTACTTCAAGATATGGAATTTAACCACCTCCCGCCCGCCATATAGTCCAATGACGGCCGCAAGGTGGTTCTCTCATTCTGATAGGACGTCATATGATGTCCTCTCATTCTCACCGCGCATGCGCGGCTCGGAGTGTGCGGCGATCGGCGGTGCGCTGTGTCCCTGGGACACAGCGGATCACTGATCCACAGAAAGAGCCGAAGATGTCGGCTCAGTCATGTGATCAGCTGTGTCCAATCCCAGCCGATCACATGTAAACAGCGAAATGCCGGTTATCGGCATTTCTCTCCTCTCGAGCTGTCACGCTGACAGCTCAAGAGGAGTGGAGAGCCGGTAATCGGCATTCCGCGGAGGGGACACGTACACTGATCATCAGGGCACTGATGATCAGTGTGCCCTGATGATCAGTGTGGCCCCAGAAGTGATACCTGTCAGTGTCCATCAGTGCCAGATGTCAGTGCTGAACAGTGCCACCTGCCAGTGCCCATCAGTGCCACATCAATGCCACATATCAGTGCCTACCAGTGCACATAAATGCCACATATCAGTGCCCATCTGAGCTGCTTTTCAGTGTCACCCATCAGTGCCACCTATCAATGTCAATCAGTGCCACCAATCAGTGCCGCCTAACAGTGCCAGTCAGTGCTGCCTAACAGTGCCAGTCAGTGCTGCCTAACAGTGCCAGTCAGTGCTGCCTAACAGTGCCAGTCAGTGCTGCCTAACAGTGCCAGTCAGTGCCGCCTATCAGTGCCATATATCTGTGCTGCCTTTCAGTGCCCATCAGTGATGCCTGTCAATGCCCATCAGCGCCACCTAACAGTGCCTCCTCATCAGTGTCCATCAGTGCATCTTATCAGTGCCCACCACTACAGCCTCATTAGCGCACATCAATGAAGGAGAAAAATCACTTATTTACAAAATTTTATAACAAAAGCTAAGAAAAAGCGTGTTTTTTTTTTTTTCAAAATTTTCAGTGGTTTTTGCTTTGTTTAAGAAAAAATAAAAAACCCAGAGGTGATTAAATACCACCAAAATAAAGCTCTATCTGTCACAAAAAAAATGATAAAAATTTCATATGGGTACAGTCTTGCATAACCGCGCAATTGTTCTTCAAAGTGCAACAGCGCTGAGAGCTGGAAATTGGCCTGGGCAGGAAGGGGGTATAAGTGCCCTGTAGGCTTGTGGTTAAAGGTAAGTCAAAATTCACTTTTTAGGGGTTGTACATACAGTAACATACATTACCGGTAGTTGAAAACTTTCGACTACCACAGCCATTCATCACTTACAGTTTTGTCTAGGAGATTTGAACATGTTGCAAAGTTAAATTCTAAATCTCAACACACACACATTGCAATTTTACTTTTAAATCTCCTTTAGACCTTCCAAGATTGTAATGCAAGGGCCCATCTGATTGGCTCTAGATTAGTTGGCTAGTTCAGGTGGGTGCTTGTATTACGTGGTTGATGGTACATGTATGGTGAGCTTAAAGTGGTTGTAAGCATTCTATGCATGAAGGTAAAAAAACCTTCAGTATTCAGCTTCCCAATGTGCAGGAGAGCTGCTGCTGTCCCTGCTCTTTGCCTCCTCATTGGCTCAGAGACAGAATTGGCTCCCTCTGCTGTCAGTCACAGCCAGTTAGGAGGGGGCGGGGCCAAGCACCGTTCTGTGTGCGTTATGAACACACATAACTGGGCTCGGGAGCAGGCACGCACGAGTGTCCCCATAGCAAGTGGCTTGCTAATGGAGCACTTGGCAGGGGGAGGAGCCCAGAGTGCCAGTGGGGGACCCAAGAAGAGGAGTATAGGGCTGCTCTGTGCAAAACCCTTGCACAGAGCAGGTAAGTAGAACAGGCTTGTTATTTAAAAAAAAAATTAACCTTTTAGTATTACTTTAAGTGCATGTTGGAAAATGAGAGCTATATTGGTAATCTGTTCCTTTGTTTAAGAATTGTATGTTACCACTTTCTTAAAAGCTATCTGTTCATAATGCCCTAAACACATCCTGCATACAGCAATACATTTTTGTTCTTTTTATTAATACGTGGATTTTTACTTATTTTAAGGGAAACTAATTCCATGGTGGAAGAGTTCATGTTGCTTGCTAACATTTCAGTGGCACAGAAGATCTACGAAGAATTTTCAGAGTATGCATTACTGCGTAAACATCCAGCTCCTCCTCCGGGAAATTATGACATTCTGGTGAAGGCTGCAAGTTCCAAGGTGAAGTTACACTAAAGAAATTATTTAAATAGATTTTAATATAGTTAGCTAATTTATCAAAAGTGGAAATGTTTCCCTCGGCAGCCATTTTGAATCCTTATAAAATGAAATCTGATTGTCTGCTTTCTGTAGTGGCATCACTTTTTTTAGCTTTCATAAGTTTTTTAAAGCCCCATGAAGTCAGTATATTTCTTGGTAACAAACAGTAGTAGTAGGGTAAATGGCATGCAGATGGTTGAACTTTGCTAAAAACAAAGATCATTAAAAAGCATATGCCAGTGAAACGTAATAAGCCATTCCCTCAGATTTTTCTGTTTCATCCAGGTGCCAGAAACTTCTTTTCCATTCAGAAAACTAAACACTTGTCTAGGAGACTGTAATTTTGAGCTTACCTTCAAGCATAAGACATTTTCTTTGTCATATTCCTTCAAACATCACACTGTCCATTGTCCATTATGTTCTGTCCTGATACATTTCTGAACATTCCGCTATTTGTGAAGTTTGATAACAAAATGCCTTGGAAATATACCAGTTTGGACATGCCACTATCATGTCAATACACATAAGCAAATGAGTACCCCTCCATAGAGGGAATTATTATTTTTTGGTGACTGCACCAAAAGGGATATTTCTCCAGGACTAACACTTAAAATTTGGAATTGTCATTAGTAACCTGAGAATTTTTAGCTTTTGGGAAGCATGTGAAAGTGTTAAATCTGTCATATTTCATTGCTTGCCCACATTAGGGAGATTTTCTCTCACCCTCAATTCTGTTGGAGATCCATCACTTGGACAGGAAGTGGAACTTTAAAGAAAACTTCTCAATTAAGAGCAGTAAAAATGCTTGACAGAGGTTCAAGCTCTTCACCATTGTTCCTTATTGCTATGGATATTTCCCCTTACTTCCTATTCTGACTGACATCTATCAAGAACTGCACAGAAATAACCAGGGCACAAACACTGACAGGGCTAAAAACTAGATTTGAAACCTTTTCTAATATTATCCCAAACTAAAGAAAGTTTTGTCTGGTCGTAGGAGACTGGTAATGTTGAAGAAAATTATTCTACAAAATTGTTAGTTTTTTTTACTTTTATGCTGTCACTAATAGTTGAGAAATTGGTTTAAGTCAGGTGTGGACAAATTATTATGGATTTCAGGAGACAGTTTGTCTAATACAGAAGCCAACTGAAATTTTTTTTTTAATGAGACAGCTTCATTGACAACAGCTTGAATAAATATCAAATGTTGGACAACAGCTGTAGCTTTTTAGCAATGAAGGTTTGTGGGTCTTTAGCAATGAATATGGCTAAGGATTGAAATGCGGGGACCCAGCAAAGTGCATAGTTCATAAGAGTTGTCAGTGTAGGCTTAGAATCTATAGAGTAAATAATATTAAAGTTATATTAAAGGCATTTATTTATGTACTTCAACATAACAAACACGGTATACTTATTTGCTCTATGCAGTGGTGTTGCACAGAGTAGCCCTGTTCCTCCTCTTCTTGGGTCCTACGCCGACTCTCCTGGCACCTCCCTAGTCCCTCCGGAGCAGAAGCTTGCTATGGGGGCACCCAAGCAGGCTTGCTCCCGAGCCACTGCTCTGCGTATCCACTCACACAGAGAGCTGCGACTCGTCCCCCCTTCTTTCTCTCCTCATTGGCTCACTGACTGTGATTGAGAACAGTGGAAGCCAGTGGCAGAAAAATGCAACATAAAGTAATTTGAGCATGTGTAGGCACAAAGAAGAAAGTAAAGAAAGAAAAGGTAAATCCAAAATATCAACTGCCGGATAAAGTGACAGTGTCTCTGCAAAGGGCATCCTCTGACTCCCTTATACTTGCCCTACCAGTGCTCCCTTTGCAGCTCCTTCCTCCTCCCTCACCAGCAAAACTATCAATCAGTTCCGTGAATTATATAACTGCTGCTCCCAGTTACAACACTGCCTGGTACACATGGTAAGTTTTTTTTTTTTTTTTGTTCAACCCAGTGAGCTGAACATAAAAACCTGAAAGGTTGCCGTACTTACAATGCAAGGGAGTGCCCCCTCCCCACCAGAACACACTGATCAGCGCTCACAGCCATTGGCTGCCAGCGCTGAACTGCTGCTGGTCTTCCACATGAACCTTCAACCAGTCATTGGACCAGCTTCTGTTGGACAGGCAGCTGTACACACTGTCTGAATGTCAGCCGGTTCCTGCTGAAGTGGCTGATATTTGGATCGTGTGTAGCCAGCATTAGTGCTGACTGGAAAGGAGGAAGTAGCTGCGAGTGCAGATAAGGTGAGTATAAGGTTTGGAAATTTCCCTTTGCAAAGATGCTGTCACTTTGCTCCGCATGGCCAGTGTGACTGTCTCTCTTAGTTGTAATAGATGTTAATTCTTGGTCTTTGCATTACATAATCCATATTATCTTTTCAGAATTTGGAGATAAAAACAGATTGTGCAAAGGCTCTGGCTGATTCCTTAGACACAGCAGAATCAGAGGAGTTTCCCTATTTGAACACTTTGCTGAGGATCCTGGCTACCCGCTGCATGATGCAGGCAGTCTACTTCTGCTCTGGAATGGATAGTGATTTCCACCACTATGGTTTAGCCTCTCCAATCTACACACACTTCACCTCTCCCATTAGAAGGTTTGTTACCTGAAAAATCTTCTGCTTATTGTGTCATTTATTAAAAAAAGCAAGAACCATGGAAAACAATGGTAGGTTAGCTATGTCTGTTCATATATTTTTGAGCTCCGAGTGGAATAGAATATGTAGCACAATGTTAAGATAGATAACTTACTTGGGCTGAAAAGCAAGTTGAGAATCTTCACTCAAGAATTGTGTATATATTCACTTGAATTTTCCAGTCATGTGAAAAGCATCTGCAGATGATTGAGTATTCAAAGTAAACAGGACTTTGCTTTTCCCGTGACTGATTAAATGAAGTGAATACTTTCACAATTTTTCGAGTGAAGATCCTCAACTGCTTTAGTAAATAGGCATCATTGATCTGAGACAGATGCAGTTAAGCAGTAGATAGTAATAAAAGTTTAGCAATAGGTTTGTTTTCTTGAAATCATATTTCATAAAAAAGAATGTTGGGTCTTATTGAACAATGTTATCCAAACACCAATGGGCATTCTGTGATATCAGAAACAACAATTAGGGACTAGCTGACAACAATTAAAATGGTCCTTTTACGCACTACTTAAATGTATCTCCATATTATTTGTTACACACTGCAGATAACATTGTACAGTATGTTAAACACATTATTATTATTATTATTATTATACAGTATTTATAAAGCGCCAATAGTTCGCTCAGCGCTGTACATTACAAAGGGAGACAGAACATGTGACAGAACAATACCAATACAATGCAAAACATGAGGGGATCGAGGGCCCTGCTCTTTCGAGCTTACAATCTAGGAGGGAGGGGGTGGTGGCACAGGAGGAGATAGCTGTGGGGGATGGAGTGGTAGGAAGAGTGGAGGAGGTCGGCAAGTTAGCAGGGGGTGGGGTAGGCTTCCTGAAGAGATGGGTTTTCAGGGTGCGCCTAAAGAAGAGGAGAGTAGGTGATAATCTGATGGGTTGGGGCAGGGAGTTCCAGAGGATGGGTGACACCCTGGAGAAGTCCTGGAGGCGGGCATGGGAGGAGGAGACCAGGGAACTAGAGAGAAGGAGGTCTTGTGAGGAGCGGAGTGTGCGTGTTGGGCGGTACTTGGATATTAGGTCAGAGATGTAGTACGGGGCAGTATGGTGGACAGCTTTGTACGTCAGCGTTAGGATTTTGAATTTGATCCGTTGCGCAATCGGAAGCCAGTGGAGAGATTGGCAGAGGGGGGTGGCGGAGACAGAGCGGTTGGAAAGGTGAATGAGTCTGGCAGCCGTGTTCAGGATGGACTGAAGAGGGGATAGCCAGCGGCGAGGCAGGCCAGTGAGGAGGGAGTTGCAGTAGTCGAGTCGTGATATGATGAGGGAGTGGATGAGCTGTTTAGTGGTTTCTGGGGTTAGGAACGTGCGGATTTTGGCGATGTTGCGGAGGTGGAGTCTGCACGAGTTTGTTAAAGATTGGACTTGGGGCTGGAAGGATAGGTTGGAGTCCAGAATGACACCCAGTACTCTGGCCTGCGGGGCGGGTTTGATGGTAGCGTTGTTGGATGTGATGGAGAAATCAATGGGGGGTGGTGTCCGGGCTGGGGGGAAGACAAGAAACTCGGTTTTGGAGAGGTTCAATTTAAGGAAGTGGAGCGACATCCAGTCTGATATGTCGCTCAGTAGGTGTGTGATTCGGGCTGAGACCAAGGGGGTGAGGTGGGGGGTTGAGAGATAGATTTGTGTGTCGTCGGCATAGAGGTGGTAGTTGAAGCCGTGAGAGTGTATGAGTTGGCCAAGGGAGGAGGTATAGATGGAGAAGAGAAGGGGCCCGAGGACAGAGCCTTGAGGGACCCCAACAGAGAGGGGGAGTGAGGGGGAGGTGGTAGCATTATAGGTAACGCTGAAGGAGCGTTGTGACAGGTAGGATGAGAGCCAGGAGAGAGCAGAATCTCTGAGGCCGAGGGAGTGTAGTTTTTTGAGGAGGAGGGGGTGGTCGACTGTGTCGAAGGCCGCAGAGAGGTCAAGGAGTAGGAGCACTGAATAGTGGCCATTAGCTTTGGCGGTTAGCAGGTCGTTGGAGAGTTTGAGTAAGGCAGTTTCGGTGGAGTGTAGGGGACGGAAGCCGGACTGTAGGGGATCGAGGAGGTTGTTGTCGTTGAGGTGAGAGCATAGGCGGGTGTAGACTAGGCGCTCGAGGAGTTTAGATGTAAATGGGAGCAGGGAGATGGGTCTGAGGTTGTTCGGGTCATTGGGGTCCAGGGAGGGCTTTTTAAGTATGGGGGTGATGTGTGCATGTTTCAGAGGGGAGGGGAAAGTGCCTGAGGAGAGGGAGAGATTGAAGATGTGGGTGAGGGAGCGTAGGATGGAGGAGGAGGAAGGTTGTAGGAGTTGTGAGGGGATAGGGTCGAGGGGGCAGGTGGTGAGGCGGGCATCAGAGAGGATCTTGGAGACTTCCTCGATGGTAGTAAGGTCAAAGGTGCGGAGTGTTGGGGGAGCTTCAGTATGAGGAATGTAGGGTGGGGTGGAAGAGGAGGTCAGAGCAGTGGTGGGGCCGTGGGAGAGGGGTGATGAGGGGGTAGCTGAGTGAGGGTGAAGGGGGTTGGAGAGAGTTTGAGCAGCGACGAAATCCCTGCGGGTTAAGTCGAGGGGGAGTGGGGATAAGGGGGTAGCTGTGTGAGAGGGGACAGGTTGAGAGGGCGTGTGAGTTGCGGCAATGTCCTTGCGAATTGTGTCAATTTTGTTTTTGAAGTGATTGGCAATCTCAAGGGCAGTGAGTGAGGTGCTGGGTGGAGGTGGGGGTGGAGAGAGTAGAGAGTTGAAGGCAGAGAAGAGTCGGCGAGGATTGGAGGACAGGGCCTTGATGAGGGTCAAGAAGTAGGCCTGTTTGGCAGCATGGAGGGAGGAGGTGTAGGTGCGGAAGGCAGATTTGTAGCGGGTGAAGGCTTGTTTGGATTTGGTTTTGCGCCATAGTCGCTCCAGGGCACGACTTTGTCGTTTGAGGGTTTTGGTGTGATCAGTCTGCCAGGGCTGGAGCGGTCGGGGTCTGATGTTGCGTGTGGTTAAAGGCGCTAGTGAGTCAAGGGCTGTTGAGAGCGCGTTGTTGTAGGCGGTCAAAGCCAAGTCGGGGCAGGACAGGGGGAGGATGCGGTCGTGGAGTTGATCAGCTGCAGAGTGGTATATTAGGAATTACATTTCAGCTCTGCCACCTTCTGACCATCCTGTTCCTGATACTTTGTAATGCTGAGCTGGTGGGCGTTGCTACCCATAATAAAACAAAACTAGACCAATAGTCGTTGCTGTGGATGGGTTCTGTTGTCTGTTTTCAAATGTATCCTCCCCTCCCAATAGCATAAAACCTTTTGGCAATAGTTTCAGAATCACACAGTAAGGTTGTTCCTTGCGCTTGCTACAGAACATGGTGAGCACTATAAACCTTTTATTGATTTATATTAAACCTTCAAATGGTTTACTTCTGAATCATTAATGATGCACATATTAGTATAAAATTATTTTTACAAGGCCTCTTTAACTCGTACGTGTAGATGAATGGTGGGGATGGAGCATGAAATGTCCCCCACCTGTGGGACCATGGCAGACCGTTAGTAAAGCAAAGGTTAATTTTTAAATTAAAAAAAAGAATACTTGCCTGTGATTGGTAGTTAAGCAGTTAAACGGTCCTGGGCACAAGCTGCAGCATAGAAATACAAAAGAAAACCATCATTAGTGAGGCAGTCGGTGGTGGACAGAAGAGGAGGCGCATCCCGCCTTCCTGCACCTTGACGCGGATTTTGTTATGAGGTTTGTCCATTTCTTTGAAATGGGACTTTAAGTTGTAGGAATGGTTAGCTTGAGTTTCAATAGTTCAACTAAATAAACTGTTTTATGTTATTATATGTTTTGTGATCAGCAATAATTAATTTGTTTTTATTGAATTCAAATTCTTGAATACCTATAATAAAAGTCAGTGGCCTATCAGTCCACAATTTTGAGTTCAGAGTTGTTTTTTCTTCATTAATTGTTCTGCCTACGGTCCCATGCCTTTTGCCCTACAGAATGAAGGCTATAAAGCAGGAAATAGAACAAAGATGATTAAATCTTACACTAGTTACCATGTTTGTATTTGTTGAGGAAAGAAATGTGTGCTTGTATTTAACTTACAAAAGTGAAAACTGTGTTCAAACTAAGTGAAAAACAGATTTTCTTATTATTTTTTTTTAATTATACAGAAAGTAAGCATTAACTTCAACCTTCCCATTCTGTTGGCACAAACAGGTTTTGGCTTTTGGAGAAAGGCACTGCAAGCTCCAGTAGGATAATTACACAAACTTGATTACTGGAGTGGAAAAGTTCCATAGAAATATTTCATTTACACATATGTGTATGTTGCCCATTATTAATAGGCTTGTACTGCTAATAAAATCCCATGTAATATCTTCTATCTTTCTAGGTATGCCGATGTCATAGTACACCGACTTCTGGCTGCAGCAATTGGGGCAGACTGCACATACCCTGATCTGACAGATAAACAAAAAATAGCAGAAATCTGCAAAAATATTAACTTCAGGCACAAGATGGCTCAGTATTCACAGAGAGCTTCTGTTGCATTTCACACTCAGGTATGGGAAGTTATAATGTTATCTGACTATGGAAAGTGACAATGTTACACTGTATGTGGAAAAAGTCCAGGTTGACCATAATCCATAAAGGGCATCTATGGTTTTGTGCAAAAAAAACGTTGCAGAGAGAAGAGGACCAAAAAGCCAGCCATTGCTTTAAAGTGGTTGTAAAAGTTTTTTTTATCCTTCATGCATTCTATGTAGTAAAGTGAAAAACCCTCCTGTGTTCATATCTCCCTCATCTCCCCCTTATACTTCCGATACTACCGATCTCAATACATTGATGTGCACAAGAACAGCATCTCTCTCTTCACTGGACCGAGAGGCAGCAGCAGGAGCCATTTGCTTCTGCTGCTATCACAGCCAGTGTGTTGGGAGAGGGGGTAGCTGGGCTGAGCCTAGCTCTGGGTCAATGGAATTAGCCCACATAAATGCCCCCCTAGCAGGTGTCTTGCTGTGAGGACACTGCAGGAAAGAGGAGCCAGAAGCGCCAGTGGGGGAGCTCAAGAAGAGGAGGATTGGGGCTGCTCTGGGCAAAACCATTGCACAGAGCAGGCAAGTATAGCATGTTTATTTCTTTTTATGTATTTATTTTTTTTAATATATCTTTTAGAATCACTTTAAAGCTGGCCTAAAATGAAACGGCCAAATAGCCCTTCTTCTTGACATAACTTGGCCTTAAAGACGTTCACCTTTAAAAAAAAAAAAAATCTTTTACAGGTAAAAATGTGTGCATTTATTATTTTTTTACACTTTAAAGCATTACACCCATGATCACGGGTGCAGTGCCAGGCTCCAGCAGACTCTGCCAGCTGTCTGCCCATACCTCCTGTAAAGGCAGACAGTTACTGAATTGCAGGAAGAATCAATGAACTACGAGAGTGCTCATTGCTTCCTCGCAGTTTGAGAACTACAAGCCGCAGGCCATGACTGCTGATGGTACTTGTAGATCATTTATTCACAGAGCTCTTTGAACGAATGATGCTGTCGTGTAGGAGGAGCCATGCTGTTTTTACATGTTGACAGCAGGTGAAGGGAGAAGATCCCCTGCCAAAGAGAAACGTATTCCTTAAGCACTTTGAAAGAACAGCTCTCAGCCTTGTCCATTCTTTTGCAAAGGCCTCTGCTTAATTCTGCCTTGTAAAAACTTTTCCTTAAGGTGTATCTCCAATTAAGACCACATTGCAGCACCCTGTGCTTCCTCAAGATCTTAACTTGGTTGTTTGTGTCATGTAGAAACCACACTTAGAACTCATCTGGGATATTCCCTTGGATGACCTCTTATGCAAAGTGGCCTTTTTGGTTGTTGTCACATCTGTCAGACATGTCTCTGAGTTGGTGATTCTCTACTAAAAGGAGTCATTCCTCATACTTCACAAAAAAAGTTTGTCTTACACCCAAGACCTCCTTTTTGCAACAATTTTTAGATGCAGCTTTTCATAGATTTATGAACCTCTGCCCATCTTTACTTCTGAGACACTTCAACTCTCTAAAATACTTTTTTTTTTTATACCTAATCATGGTATTGACCTGTTGCCAATTAACCTAATTAATTACAAAATTCTCTTCCAGCTCCTCCTTGTTAATCTCACTCTGCCAGCTTTTTGTTGCCCTGTCCCAACTTTATTGTTTGTACCATTCTTAAAATGGTACGATTTCTCAGTGTAAACATTTGATATGTAATTTGTTTTATTGTGAATAAAATATGGGTTTATGAGATTTGAAGTCATTGCATTCTGGTTTTATGTAGATTTTACACAGCATCCCAACTTTTTTGGAATTGGGGTTATATTCATACACCCCATTAAAGGAGAAGTATAGCCAAAGCTATTTTGGCTATACTTCTCCTGTAGGTCACAGGAGTACAGTTTGTTCTGCATGCCTGTGACCCATTTTCAGCCAACAGTGGGCTAAAGTCACTCAGCTGGTCCAGCTCTAAAAAGATCCTGACCGAATGATCCGTATCCACCTAGAAGCCTGGACGGGCACCTGGCTCAGCCTCTCAGCGAACCACTGAGAGCCTGGCCAAGCCTCTGTTGCCCCCTCCACAGCCCAGGGACAAAGCAGAGAGCCAGAGACTGACAGTAATGCTTCTCTGCTCAGAGCGGAGGGGGAAAACTGACCGATTAACTGTGTTTAATCACTTAGTTCTCACTGCAGAGCCAGTGTAGGACAGCATTGAATCGATGCTGCATCCACCTAGGTGAGTTTCAATTTTTTTTTTTTTTTTTTTTGGAAGTCCTTAAGGAAGGTTTTTTGGAACTTTCCTTAAGTGTCTCTTCTCTAGAGTGAATAACTGTAATCTTTGTTATCGATCCTCATAGAAGGGTTGGTGACCAAAACTAAACTACATATTCAAGATGAGGCTGAAGCAGTTTTTTGTATTGGGTATAATTAATTATTTATCTCCTGGTTGTAAGTTTTTTTAATGTATGAGAGTATTTTGCTAGCTTTATTTTTTGGCACTCTCCAGTTTTAGTAAATCAACCCCAAAGAACCAATTATGCTGTCACAGGGAACCTTGACTGTTTATGGATGCATCATGTCCCATCATGTCCTTAAAACATGTGTCTTAATTAGTGCAGTAACTAGATGCTGCATGGTGGTTTGCTGCAGCTCTACCTTGATGTAAGCTGCAATAGCTGTCTTCTTCCTTGTCACCTGTTGACCTGCCACTCTCCTTCTTCCCACCTATTCACACCATGTAGTCTCATACATTGTGTGGTGCTATATTAGACCTTTATTCACACCCTGAACATTCATATCCCAGGGTGTATTGTAGATCTTTTACTGCAACACTCCTGAGCCTAATTCTTTGAACTACATGCCCAAATATTGATGCTCACACTTCTCTTTCAGTTGGTCCCACATTCCTTTTGGACTCCTCTCCTGACCCTGTAGTGTGCAGCGCATCGGGGTCTAATCCTCACAATTCTGTCTGCGTCATGTTGCATGTTCAGGAATTTGTTCATTCGCATCACTCGGTTGCCCCCTTAGTTATGCAAATGGTCTCTATAGAGACTGTCTATGTCCAGTTTTCTCTACTCAAGGTCACTGGGGCTCTCCTCACTAACTGGCAAGATTAGGTACCACTGTCTTGGGCCCCCTTTTTCCCTGATTACCATAGTACATAATTTCCTGGCCTACAGCCCTCAGACTCGCCCTCATTCCCTGTGAATAAATAAGGATCCTTCCGATATCAGGGTTTTAGATTACCAAATTGCCTGTTTTTACATGCTGAGAAGTACATCAAAAATCTTATTTTTTAATGAACACAACTGCAATAACTAACTTGGATTTCTCCTCACTATGTATGTCTGTGATAATAGCACAAGATATTGAGGGTAATGGTCGTCACCACTATAGGCACATTTTTAAAGATTTCCTATCACTTCCTGTCTCTACTGCAGCCATGTATTTGACAGCACCACTGTATTAAAGGTTGAAGATAGGCAAATCTAATTTCTTTTTTGTCCATTGAGGCACACTAAGTATTTAACCTTTTGGGGTATACTGCCACCTGTGGGAGGATTGGACACTGGCAAACAACTATAGGCCATTGTAGAATAATCCCTCCCACTACTATCATGCTTCATTTTTTTTCTAGTGTGTTATGAGGAAAGATATTTTCTACATCTCTTCTGTGTTAAGATTAACTTATTTATCTGCTAGCACCTTTTTATTCTTTGTTCTACACTGCTGCTGGAGTTTTGTCTCTTCAATTGCAGCTTTTTCATGCTATCAGCCTGAGCCTGGCCCTTGGAGTACTGTGTCCAAATACTGCTGGACTTGACATTGCGGGGATAGCCTGGAAGTGACCTTTTGGGCACAGAGCTTCTTGTAGGACATTTTTCAGACTTTATTCTGGTAATAACTGTGAAGCTTTTTCTAAGTTCAGAGCTGGTGGCATTGCCTTAGTGTTTGCATGGTCTGTTAGGACTTGTGTAGTAAGCCTGTCAAGCCATGCACTGGGAGGCACCTCATATACTTAGGTCGCTGATTTTGCCACACAGTTGGACTGAACAATGATGGCATCCTCTGTGGATTGGCATTATCCCACCTTAACAGAGTGCTTACCATTCCACTAGAGGACATGCCTGTCTTTTAAGGACCCAACCAATAAGCAGATGGAAGCCCATTACAGAGCTCTGTTCCAACAGGTGGGCCCTGCTCTTAGCCAGATTCTGGATGTAACCTTACATTGTCAAACCATGACTGACCATTAAAAATCCCATAAAGGAGATCTTCCGAGTGCTGCAAAGTTAAGTCCATCACTCATATAATGTATGAAGCCTCCAAGGGACAGTGTCTCTTCGGGCCAGCTATTGACAACATCTTTGAGATTCCCATGGAATCTACTGAATCCGGCGTCGCCTTCTTTAATCAGGTACTCTTTGGTATTGGAACCAGGTTCTGTCTAAACTTTCATAACTACTGTTTCAACCCATTAGAGACACTCCTATCTGTACTTTTAACCACAAGGTGGTGGTTTGCGAAACCATCATTTCTGTGAGGTAAGTGTCTGTCTGAACTGGCAACCTTATCCTGCAAGAAACTCTTGGTGTTGAGGTCCAGGACTTCCTTCATGCCTATGGTAATTTCTGTGGTTCAGGTAGACCATCATCCAAGCTTATGGTCTAGAGTAGGGGTCTCCAAACTATGGCCCTCCAGTTGTTGAAGTACCATCATGCCTCTGGCTCTGGGAGTCTTGCCTGTGGCTGTCAGTCTTGCAAGGCCTCATGGGACTTGTGGTTCCTCAACACCTGGAGGGCCATAGTTTGGAGACCCTGGTCTAGAGGATTAGGTTCCACCTTTTCCTGTCAAGGCAGATTCAACTGGATCAGTGAGTGCTTCATAGGCTTTTTGCCATCAAACAATTGTTTCCCAGATATGCAAGGCAACCACCTGGTTTTCTGTTCACACGTTCTACACTTGTGAACGTAAGTTCTGCCAGGTAAACGTTGCGGGCTCATTTGATGCCAACTTCAGGCATCCTCAGTACTATTTTTTTGAGCCTGTTAGCATTTGCTATGTTGTCCACCCCTTAGCTATACTGCTTTTGGACATCCCAAAAGTTAAAGACTTTATATGATCCTCAATGGACTAGAAGGAAAAAGATTTTTGCTCTCATCTTAAAATCCTTTTCTTACACTCCATTAAGGCACAGGTTCTCACCCTTCGGTGTTTGATTATGCTCTCGGTGCTGCTATGCTACATAACCGAGGCTTACTGCTACTACCTACAGTTTGCCAGTGGCTAATCCGCCTGTAGGTGGAAACATAACCTGAAGATTAAACATTTCCTATATCCCTCAGTGGACTCAAAGAAAATAATTTATGGTAATTACAAACTTAGGTAAGTTAATTAAGTTTCAAATAAACATGCAAAAAAAAAATCATACGTAACAGGGTACCACAGTGATGTGTGGATAATGTAGGTCACACAGAATCAATTAGAAACCAGATATTAAGGCTTACAGATAGTTACATAGTTAGTCTGGCTGAAAAAAGACAAAAGTCCATCCAGTTCAATCATAAAAAAAAAAAAAAAGAAAGAAGAAAGTTATAATCCTATACCCACAGTTGATCCAGAGGAAGGTGAAAAGATCCAGCAAAGCATGATGCAATTTGCTCCTTCAAGGAAACGAAAAACCTTCCTGATCCCCCAAGAGGCAGTCAGATATTCCCTGGATCAACTTTACCTGTAAATGTTAGTATCCAGTTATATTCTGTGTATCTAGGAAAGAATCCAGGCCATTTTTTAAAGCTATCTACAAAGCTGGCCAGAACCAAATCTTGAGGGAGTCTATTCCACATTTTCACAGCTCTTACTGTGAAGAAACCTTTGCGTATTTATATTGTATATAATCCCATCAATGATGCAATACAAAACCACACAACTAAGCTGGTGAGAATAGTTAGGGACAAAGTTGCCATCTCAGATGGCAAGCTAAGAGCTTATCACTTAGAACCCTTATGACCAAAGAGGAGGTACAGAAAGAGCAGAATAACCTCTGTCTCCAGATATGGATGAAGTCCGTGTAGATCAAATTTACGTGGACAACCTCTAGCAATATGGGTCAGTTTGTACATAGGTAAGGCCTCGCTCACCAACCTAACCCACATTTGTAAACTAGGAGTTTCAGGCTTGTTCACATATAATGCAATGCACTTTTTGGCATAAAAAAAAAGAGGAAACGAAGCAGCGTCTTTTGGGATTCACAGATATCTTCATCCCCAAAGTCTCCAAGTAGACACCTAATTAGGATTACAAACGTTAGGTAAAGCTAATTTTTTCTTCCATATATTTAGTAATAGGGGACCAAAAGGACCCCACCCTGGGACAGTTTCATATGATATTTATTTATTTCAGGTACTTTTATAGCGCCGTCAATTTACGCAGCGCTTTACATATATATTGTGCATTCACATCAGATATGAAAGAAGTCTCCAGTAGCAGTATGACACTGTAGGGAGGGAAATCTACCAGTCATGTATAGTTTGAGTGGGATATAATAGATCCAATGTAAATATTTCAGTTGGATAACCTTATCTCTTGCAGCAAGAACGCTATTTACCGGACTCCCTACTACCTCTTCCCAGGGTGTGTTTAGTTTAACAATGTGCTTACACCTTTTAATTTTCCTTCCTCCTGTTTTAATACATTTGTTTCTTATGCAGCTGTTCTTTAAAAACAAAGGAATTGTAAATGAAGAAGGATACATCTTGTTTGTTCGGAAAAAATGCGCTTGTGGTATTGATCCCAAAGTTTGGTTTAGAAGGCATGGTCTTCTTTGATGACAAAGTAAAGCCTAGGCTAATTTACAATGATGAGGTAAGGTCAACTGAAATTGATTTAGTCTTCAAACAAATCATTGCTATCTTTTTCTGCAATTTAGCTTGATATCTTGGAAGCAAGCAGCACAAAGCCCCAGTGCATTAAACCCCAAAACATTTGCTGAACTACATGCATTACAAAGGATACCATATCACTAGTTATCAATGTATTTTATCCTGGTCAATTGTAATCCAATGTATTTATGTAAATATTAACCACTTCAAGTACTGACACTTTTACCCCCTTCCAGTCCAGGCCAGTTTTCAGCTTTCAGTGCTTTCACACTTTGAATGACAATTGTGCGGTTATGCAACACTGTACCCATATGAATTTTTTAGCATTTTTTTTGAGACAGATAAAACTTTATTTTCGTGGTATTTATTCCCCACTGGGATTTTTTTTTTGGTTATATGAATGGAAAAGTCCAAAAATTTTGAAAAAAAAAAGTTTTTCTTGTACAATTTTGCCAATAAATAACCTTTCTTCATAAATCTTGGCCAAAATGTATTCAGTTATCTTTTTAGTAAAAAAAAAAAAAAAAAAATAACCCAAATTAGTTTATAGCCAAAAATTATAATTTTTCAAAATTTGCTTTTACATTTTCATATATATATATATATATATATATACACTTTTTTTTTTTTCTTTTTTACATACCATCACCCTAGCACCCATAGTAACACTGTACTACTTGTGGGAGGTGATTTTTTTTTTTTTTTACACTGATTGCTTTTACACCCATAAAGGCTGTAAAAGCAATAATTTTTTTTCTCTCTGGCTGCATTCTTGCAGCCATTGAGAAATACTGTGTGAGCTGTGATTGGTCACAGCTTGTCACCTGGTACAAGGCTGTTGTGAATAGCCTTGTACCATGTGATTTCTGTGATCATTCACAGATTTCAAACATAGTAAGCAATGATGTCAGAAGTGACATGATCGGGACCTCACACAGAGGTCCCATACAACAATCAGGAAGTGGTTAAAAAGCTGCAAGTGGATTTATACGAAATGTATTCTAATTACACAGTAGTTTCATCCTCTTTCTGTGAATGACACAAACATCAGCAGAGACCCAGCAGGGAATCAATCCTGCCACATTCCTTGTATTTGTTTCCAAGTCTTCACTGCTGTTCAGGGCCTTGCAACAAAATCTTTTTCCACCACTGCCATGGATCTTAGCTTTGGCCTTTCAAGTAATATCGCTTTCACACTCTTACCTCATTTCTACACCTTACTCCATGAGTACCCCACATGGGAAATATTCTCACTGATAGCAACGATAGAAACTAGGCAAAACCTCAGGCAAATGGCTGCTCAGCCGATGGGTTGCAAAGCACTCAAAACCCCTCTTCCCTTGCACTGGAGCATGACTGCAGTGCATGATTTTAACAGATCTCTGCAGCCAATTCTACCTCTATCTCAGTCACACACCAAATGGCCTGCCTGGCCAAGGCGGAACTCTCTGCAACTATATCAGAGTTTAATGGACAATTAATTGCCTTAACTCATCCATCACTGTCCAGAGCCAAAAAGCACCAAGCATTTTCTCCACCTCCACCTTCTCTATCAGAGTCATAAGAAGTAGACACTGAAAACTTTGAAGATTTGGAAATGGTGTTAGAGAAGGCCACTCACCAAAGATTTCTCACCCCTACCTTCCCATACACCTGATGCTATGGCTTCATGTCCTATGCTTGCCAACGTAGGTATGATCACTTCTGTTGTACACAAAAACCCTCACTAAAGTTATACTTGATTCTTAGCCCCTTTGAGTATTAGGAGACCTGCAACATCTAAAAAGACATTCCCCACTCATAAATAGAATGGACAATTTGGGATTGGTTTACTAAAACTGGAGAGTGTAATATCTGGTGCAGCATGGCAGCCAATCAGCTTCTGACTTAATCTTGTTCAATTACAGTTTGCCAAAAACAAACTGGAAGCTGATTGTTTTTTTTTTTTTTTTTATACAGAGCTGCACCAGCTTTTGCACTCTCCAGTTTTGGTTATTTCGACCCCCTATGTCCATTTGGTTTCTCCTGTAAAGGATTTCACGCCCTCAAGAATCATTGGTGAGGTATATCCTGAGGAAAAAGAATTCACCAAAAAGTGGACTGTTCAACCAGTAGTCCCTGCTGTCAGTCTTAAATACACATTTTTTCTGGTCTGTAAAAAGATGTTCCTTCATTTAAAGGATAACTCCACTTTCATGGGAAAAAAAAAAATCGCAAATAAAAAAAAAATTGTGTATACAACTGCGACTCATGTCATATTGTAATTGAATTGTATTGTACTTTACTCCTAGATATAGAATTCATAGGTAAGTTACATTTTTTTTCTTTCTTAAAGTACATCACACCAGACAGCCTGTTCCTCATTTCTTTCCAAAACTGAGGCTTAGCTGAGCTGGGAGTGGTTATGCCTGGGTGGGGTTTCCTGCCTTTTTTCAACCGTGTTCGTTCAACTGAAGGTGGCATATATCCCAAAGAGTCATAAATATGAAGTTCTCTGTGTCCTGTGATGTACTCCAAGAAAGGATTTTACAGGTTAACAAAAATTTGCTATTTCTTTTATTGTCCCTACTGGACAAATCATGGCTGTAATATAGTTGCCATAGACAAAAATTCCATGCATATTTTTTTCAATTTTCTTTACCCCCATATATTTTGGCTGCTCTGCTGCTGTTCTGAGGCCATCTAGATCTCCAGTCAGTATACCACGTTAAGGCTAGCGGCTCAGTAGTGTGCAGCTTTCTTTGCTACATAAGAGCTCTGTTTCATTCTGATTAATTGCTTGATTTACACAAGCAAGGTTGAGTTCCTAATGCTTCTTTAAATAAGTTATGTAGGAAATACTGTACAATGTGCAGTACAGTAAAATAATGATTTTAGCTACTTAAAATTGCAGTGTTGTTGAGTGTTGTTAACCATTTCCAAAAGCATATTCATAGGACTAGAAAACAAACAAGATAAATGGAGAAAGCAAGCACTTAAGAAAACCTATAAAATTAATTGCTGCAGGGTACATCTACCTTAAAGCTGAACTCCAGGCACACAAACTTACATTACTTAGATTCCTCAATAGACACAAAAGATATAAAGCCCTTTGTGTGCACCAAATGCCTTTACAAATCCAAATATTACCTTGTAAAGGTAGCATTGACATTAGTGTTCTGCATAGAGTTGTGGATAGGATTCATAATGTCCTTCCACATTCTGCTTGTATAAAAAGGGGAATGAACACAAAATCAGTCACCCTGCCCAAGGAGAGCGAGCAGCAGTAAGCAGTCTTTTCTATAGGAAACAAAGGCAAAGTGAGTAAGTTGTTTCATGCTGTTATTTATGTACAGTTTTGCAATAAATACACAAAGGACACCAAGATTCAAGTTAGATACATTTTAACTTTTTATTTAGGCAATATATGTTTAGCTGGAATTTCAGCTGTTAAAGCATCCCTAATGGAAGAGTTCTTCAGAAGAGAGTTTTCAGATTAATAGAAGTATTAGCAGGCATCCTGCATACCCTTCTCTTTGACAAGACTTAATAATAATAAAAAAGCAAATATTATAGCGTTACTTTAAATAATTCTTTGCTTGCTCGATGGTGATTGTTTTTGAATGATTGTCTAACCTAAGCATTCCAATTTTGCTGAATATATTGTGGGCCTGGCCCCCAAAACCTGTACGATAAAGCTTTTGGTAACATCTTTAACAGTGCAGTTGTCCTACATGTTGTTGAGTGGCACAATTAGGCAGTAATAAATAAAATGTTGAATTTAATGTGTATGTTCTGGTATCCAGTCGACATCCTATTTTTTTTTTTTTTATAATCCAGCACTTGTCAAATATTATATTTATGTTGGTTTAAATGTTTATTTTATTGCATTTATTGGTTTATTTTCAAGATTCCTTCGCTGACTGTGGAAAACACCACCTTCTATATGTTTGATAAAGTAAAAGTTAAAATTTCTTTGGACGCTTCAAACATTCAACACCAGAAAAATACGAATGGTTCTCGTGGAGCCTGAGGTAGTAACACCATGTTTGTTTTTCCTTTTATTGTTTTAATTATCTTATTTCTTGTTGTAGTTAAAAATTTCTGTTTCTTTAAAAGATAAGGTCACCATAGATGCAGCCTCTCAGCTGGTGAGCTTTAATGCTGAGAGGCCGCATATATGCATACCAAAAAAAAAACCCAAATGGAACTGTGCTGAGAGCGCTCACGGTGCACGCTCTCGGCACAGTTATCGGCAGCTAATGGAAGTCCCCCAATCTCTATGTGCGATCAGGACCTTTCCAATCATCTGACTGCTGTTTGGCAGTCACATGATCACAAACCCCGCCCTGCCTCCCCGCATCCAAACTTCCTTAAAGGACTGGGAGGCGCCAGCACAAAGAGGTTAAAAAAGATTATAAATGCACATCTTTTTCGGGGGAAAACATTGCACCCTCTATCAACAGATCCCTGGTGCCATGCAGGACACCTGCAGACATGTCTGTGTGTATCTGTGGGCTTGTACGGGTAGGCAGATACACACTGACTGGAAGATGACTTGCCACAGGGCTCAACAGCATCATGGTAGTAAGTTGAAAAGCCGACAGCCGCAAAGATCCAGAGCGGGCAGCAGCTCCGGCAGTGGGAACATGTTACATGTTCCATCCTAAAAAACGGGTGCAACATGTTCCCAAAGGTGAACTTATCCTTTAATAAGCTTAGAATAAATTGTGTTCTCTTCAAAATGCTATTTTGGTGTTTAAAGCAGAACTCCAGCTATTTTTGCATTTGATAGGTAACTCTGTACATGTATTTCTAGTGTAAGTACCTGAAGGTGACATTATTAGCCTCATGTAGTCTGTTTACAGCAGAGCTCCTACTAGGGGAAGAACAGCATAAAGAGCCAATCAATTGTGCTGCAATGCTTCTGTGCTAATAAAAGGACATGATGATAGGAGGGGACAGCATAGGGACACAGAATGAGCTCATCAATCCACTGCATCTCCTTTCACTGTCCACTCACAGGTTGGGGGACGCACAAAACCTGTAAGTATTACTAAACTTCAGCACAGACAAAATCAGATCCCCTACCAGACAGGACTGTGCTCTGTAGCAGAGCTGTGTAAATATCTGGACTAGATGGGCAGAAATACATATTCTTTGGCAGCTAAATACACAGATTTATTCCATCTGTGTATTTAGCTATTTGGCTGGAATTTGTAATAGACTTTTTTTTGGTTATCCAAAAAAAGCTCCTGTTTACAACATATTATAGAGGGGTTGTGCATCATTTAATACATACTTGGTCACCTTTTATTAATTAAACTTGATGGATGCACTGTGCATATAGTGTGATGGGTGCTAGAACTGTGTAAGCAAGAAAAGTTCTTCTGTGCTCATAACTGTCAGGCTGAATGGAAAATACAGAATTCCCTTACTACCAGCAATGGGCAAACTACGGCCCGGCGGACCCTTTAATCCGCCCGCGGAGCTAGGCTCCTCTCACAGTCCGCCCTGAAGACCGGTGTAGCATGAAAATCTGTCTTCTATGAGGATCTGTCCCCCTCGACGTGTCTGCGCATGTGCCGGAGATAGCCGATCGGCTGCTAATGCCTGAAACTGGCACATGCGCAGATACGTCGAGGGGGACAGATCCTCATAGGAGACAGATTTTCATGCTACACCGGAACGGCGCGGGAACACGGCGAGAGGAACGCGCGGAGCAAAGGTAAGTGAATTGACACAGGGGGGACTTGGGGGCTTAATATGGGGGATGAATTAATATGGGGAATGAATTACTATAGGGGGGATGAATTACTATAGGGGGGATGAATTACTATATGGGGGATGAATTACTATATGGGGGATTAATTACTATGCTTACTATGGGGGAATATTACTATTCTTACTATGGATGATACACATCTCTCATCTACTCTTGGTCCAGCCCCCGGGTCCAATATATGAACCCATTGCGGCCCTCAAGTCAAAAAGTTTGCCCACCCCTGCTTACTACTATACAGCACTAATGAGGACAGAAAAATATGTCCATGTATCAGCCCACAGACCTGGTTAAAGCACAACCCTACCTCCCAGGAACAGATATTACTACAAGGACAGCAAAAACTGAACTTTTTCAGTAGATATGGAAAAAAGAAGTGATGCATGTTAATGTTTAGGATGCTTTAAACACCCTTCTCACCCACTGTTCTGCACCATTTTCATTGTAGTAGAGTAGTCTGTTCCATAGATGTGCATCTGGTTTCTTGAAGGCTGCCCAAGTTTATTTTACATATTACACATAACCTCCCTCAGATTTTTTACAAGAAACCTTGTGGAGTCCTCATTTTCTTTAATGTGAGTGTCATGTCTTTTGAAAATGTTCATCTGACATGTGGCCTCCTTTTATCAGTATCTGCATGGAAACTTAAAGTAAATTTGAGTTCCACTCCCAAGTTATGACTTTCTCTTTCCAAGTTATGGTTCTCTCCTTCAAAGTTATGGCTCTCTCGACCACTTGCCACATTATTCTATTTCTGTTGTCCAACTTTCCAGAGTAAATCGCACACCAATAGTAGTTGGTTTCTCAGCATGTGTACCCTTTTTAGTTGGATGGCCTGTTTCTCAAGCATTCTAGCATTCTTAGTGCCAGTAATAGTTTTTGGAGAATCTCCAAAGACCTGGTTAAATGGATCTAGAAAAAAGTTGGGTCATCCTGTCTAGGTTGTTGTTTTTGTTTACAAAATTCATTCTACACTACCAGTTTGTATTGTAGAATGTTTGTTCCTAGAGAATGTGCTTCTTATAAACTCATTTTTCTTTTGTAATAGATTCCTGGTGTTGCAATAAGGGAGATGGACCAAAGCACCATCAGTGAAGAGCCAACAGCCAAGAAGAGCAAGCGGAAAACATAGTCGTTCAAAAAAAATAGTAGTTTTTGTATTCTTTTTTAAAAACTCAAACATTCACTATATAAACTGAAAAATGTTTGAAGATTTTGCTTTCCTTTGAATCACTTAATTAATATTTAGTTGTTTAAGCACTTTTTCTGAGAACTGCTGTACATCTGTGTTGCATGGAGTCAACCAACTTCTGGCACCTGTGAACAGGTATTCCAGCCCAGGATGATTGGACTACATTCCACAGTTCTTCTCGATTTCTTGGTTTTGCCTCAGAAACTGCATTTTTGATGTCACCCCACAAGTTTTCTATTGGATTAAGAACCGGGGATTGGGCTGGCCACTCCATATCGTCAATCTTGTTGGTCTGGAACCAAGATGTTGCACGTTTACTGGTGTGTTTGGGGTCGTTGTCTTGTTGGAACATCCATTTCAAGGGCATTTCCTCTTCAGCATAAGGCAGCATGAGCTCTTCAAGTATTCTGATGTGTTTAAACTGATCCATGATCCCTGGTATGCGATAAATAGGCCCAACACCGTAGTATGAGAAACATCCCCATATCATGATGCTTGCGCAACCATGCTTCACTGTGTTAACAGTGTACTGTGGCTTGAATTCAGTGTTCAGGGATCGTCTGACAAACTGTCTCCGGCCACTAGACCCAAAAAGAACAATCTTACTTTCATCAGTCCACAAAATGTTGCGCCATTTCTCTTTAGGCCAGCCAATGTGCTCTTTGGCAAATTCTAACCTCTTCAGCACGTCTTTTTTTCAACAGTGGGACTTTGCAGGAGCTTCTTGCAGATAGCTTGGCTTCACATAGGCATCTTCTAATTGTAACAATACTCACAGGTAACTTTAGACCTTCTTTGATCTTCCTGGAGCTGATTGTTGGCTGAGTCCTTGCCCTTTTGGCTATTCTTCTATCCATTCGAATTATAGTTTTTCTCTTTCTTTCCACGTCTTTCAGATTTTGGTTGCCATTTTAAAGCATTTGCGATCATTTTAGCTGAGCAGCCTATAATTTTCTGCACTTCTTTATATGTTTTCCCCTCTCCAACCAACTTTTTAATCAAGGTACGCTGTTCTTCTGAACAATGTCTGGAACGACCCATTTTCCTCATAATTTCAGAGAGAAATGCACTGTGAAAAGCATGTACATTTGCTGCCTTCCTTCCTTAAATAAGGGCAATAATTGCCACCTGTTTTTCAAAGAATAAATGACCTCACTAATAGAACTCCACACAGCTATTATTTTGAACATGCCCCTTTCAATTAGTGATTCAGTTACACAGAATCAGCAGCATGCATGTCATGACTGTTGGGTCTGTTGGATTTCTATTACTCTACTACACCTGCTAGTAAATTATTTGCCATGTAGAAATATCATTTTGACCAAAAACAGTGATTGATCAGGTTAGTGATCTCTGACTGCTATTATTTTGAACACAACTGTATGTGGCTGTTACGAATTATGACCTCAGCTATTCCAATGGTCAAATGGGCGCAATGGTATTCACATCCCCTTCAGGTGGGGCTCTTAGAACAATGGAGATTGGAGGATCTTGGGTAGAAGATACAAATCACTTCGCAGATGAGAGTGAGCCTGGAATGGTGGTTGAGATGGCAGAATCTCCTACAATGCCATTTCTTACTTGCGATACAGTGAAAGGTGGTCCAATCGGATGTCAGTGAAGCAGGAGCCCTGTGCGGAGTTCACTCGGCACAGGGCCAGTGGTTATTCTGGGCTGCTGTCAATATGGTTTTCAACATTCTAGAATTGAGGGCAGCATTCCAAGCACTCCTGGCTTTCAAAAGGCTCGTTCAGGGTGCACCCGTTCTGATGAAGTTGGACAATGGAGCGGCAGTAGCCTACATACGTAGACAGGGTCACCCGCAGCATACCCCTCCTGAGGGAGGTTACTCCAATTATGGAATGGGCCCGAGACAACTTACAACTGCTAACAGCAATATATGTGCCCGGTTGCTTGAATACCCAGGTGGATTATCTATCCAAAACGAGTTTGGACAAGTAGGTCCTTTCACCTCAAATTTTTGGGGGTCTAGTGGCATGGACCTTTCTGCCGGAGATAGACCTGTTTGCCTCCCTGGAGAATACCAAACTACCTAGTTTTTTTTCTCCAGGATCAGTCACCCACAAGCTATGGGGGTAGATGCATTGACAATGGCATGGGATTTCAAGTTTGCGTACGCCTTCCCTCCAATTCCGGTGATTCTTAGCTTGCTGCACAGAATACACCAGGAGAGGGTGACGGTTTTGTCAGTAATACCAGATTGGCCAGAGACCCTGGTACCTGCTATTCTGTTCATTGAACATCAGAGAACCATACCCTCTTCCAGTGACATCAGATCTGCTCATGCAGAGACCCATTTGGCACCCCGCTCAAGAGAAACTCAGGCTGAAGACCTGGGTCTTGAAAGGCAAAGGCTGATCAATATAGGACGCTCGACTAAGGTCACAGATACCTTGATGAGAGCCAGAAAGGGCAGCACCATCACAGCCTATAGCAGGATATGGAGCAAATTTGTGGAATTTTCAAACAGGCATGGCTTTGCACCAGATACCCAGAGAGTCTGCCACTTATTGGAATTCCTCCAGGCGGGGCTGATTATGGGTCTGCCTGTGAGTACTCTGAAGGCTCACGTTTCTGCCCTCTCGGCTTTTACAGGTACCCTATGGGCATTAGACTCTTTAGTGGTTCCGTTCTTTAAGGCAGCTATCCACCAAAGACCAGCCAAGCCTCTGATTTTCCTGAAATAGGACTTGCCACTGGTGTTGGACTTCTTCTCATCAGACACCTTCAGTCATCCTGTCTCACTATGGCAGCTTACTCTGATACCAGCATTTCTCATGGCGATAACTTCAGCCACAAGAGTGTCGGAACTAGCAGCTTTAGGGTTTAAAGAACCCTTTTTGTTCTTTCTGGATAGGGTCATGCTTAGACCAATGCTAGGATTCGTACCCAAAGCTGCATCCAGGTTTTACATAGCGCAAGATGTTACACTCCCGATGTTCCTTTAGAAAAATTCCCAGCACCAAAGTCTATTGGATGTTGGGCACTCATTGAGAGACTATGTGGACACTACTTAAGCTCAGGAAGTCAGATCATCTTTTCACCATCCCTTACGGTGCACGGAAAGGCTCGAGAGCTTCTAGTAGATTAATCGCTACATGGCTGGTCAAGACCATCTCTTTAGCTTAACCACTTCCCGACCGGCCGTTGTATATAAACGGCCGGACGGTGCCACTGCAGGGTCGGGTGGCCGTCTATAAACAGCCTCCCCGCACCCTGCTTGCTCGCGCAGCACCGCGATCCGGTGCCCGCTGTGTCCTCCGGACACAGTGAAACACCGATCGTCGGACGGGACCTCTGTACGAGGTCCCGATCATGTGATCACTGGTTGGCGAATCAGTGATCACATGCAAAGTAGTAAGCAAGATGTCGCTTGTGACATCATTGCTTACTATGTGTGAAATCTGTGAATGATCACAGAGGTCACATGGTACAAGACTATTCACAAAAGCCTTGTACCATGTGACAAGCTGTGACCAATCACAGCTCACTCTGTATTTCTCAATGAGTGCAAGAATGCACACAGAGAGAAAGAGAAATGATTGCTTTTACATCCTATATGGGTGTAAAAGCAATCAGTGTAAAAAAAAAAAAAAAAAAAAAAAAAAAAAAAAAAAAAAAAACTTTATCACCCCCCACAAGTAGTACAGTGTCACCATGGTGACACTGTACTGCTAGGGTGACAGTATGTAAAAATAAAAAATAATAATATAAAAAAATAAAATAAAAATGTAAAAAAAAAAAATGTTTAAAAATTATAATTTTTGCTTATAAACTAATTTGGATTTTTTTACTAAAAAAATAACGGAATAAATTTTGGCTAAGATTTATGATGAAATATTATTTATTTGCAAAATTTTATTTAAAAAACACTTTTTTAAAAATTTTTTGGACATTTCATTTATATAGCAAAAAAAATACAAATCCCAGTGGTGAATAAATACCACCAAAATAAAGCTTTATCTATCTAAAAAAAATGGTAAAAAATTCATTTGGGTACAGTGTTGCATGACCGCGCAATTGTCATTCAAAGTGTGATAGCGCTAAAAGCTGAAAATTGCCCTGGTCAGGAAGGGGGTAAAAGTGTCCGGTCTGGAAGTGGTTAAAGAACAAGAGGGTTGCCTGTGCCTGAGGGGATCACAGCACATTCCACTAGAGGGGTTTCTTTTTTTTTTATTTTTTATTTAGATATTTATTACATTTTTCACAAATACATATTACACTTATAATCACATAAAACCAACAAATAACTTTTATTCATTTCTATTCTCCTTTTCCCATTCCCTCCCCACTTCTCTCCTCCCCCCCCTTCCCTGTCACCTACCCTACAATACTTTCATCCCTTCTAGTTAGAAATAAGAGAGATATTCTTACTATATAATCTATCCACTTCTATTCAACTTTAACTTGTACTCCTCCCACTTGCTCCATCTCAGGTAATATGGTCCCATCCTATCTTCTTGCATATAGTCAATTTTTTCCATCCTACAGATCTGATCGGCTCTCTCAACCCAGTCCTCCTCCCTTGGCACCTCTACTTTCCACCAAAACTTGGGTATTAACCATTTTGCCGCATTTAGATAGTACCAAATACCCGTCTCCTTATATTTGTTCACAGAATACTCCGAACAATGAAAGAGACAAGTCGCTGGTTCCAAACCAACATCAATTTCAGTTATCCTCCTAATTAAATTCACTATCTCCTTCCAGAATACTTGAATTTTTGGGCACCCCCACCATACATGATACAACGTGCACTCTCTCCACATCCTCTCCAACACCACCGTGATTTCTCACCACTCATCTGGTGTGATATGCCGGTGTGATATGCCACCTTGTCAAGCACTTATAATTAATTTTCACCTCTCATGGATATGTTCTCGTGAACTAATCTAAATATTTTCCTCTGTTTATCCTCA